ATGCCACTAGCCAGCCATTTTTAGCGTTAGACGCTGAAATCTGCACGTTTAGACATCTGCGCAAAGGTGCTGCGCGCGCGTTTGACGCTTGACGCACGACGCACGACGCTTCCATGTAATAGCACACCTTAAGTGGAGGTCGGTAACCGACCCCCAACAAGAGACGCAGAAATCCACCGCTGCCGCGGTAGATGATCCACTGTCATGCGTCTTCACACCCAAGATCACTTATATACCCTACGAGACTGAATTTTACTTCCTAGTTTTTCGCCCGCCACCATGCGCGGCCTAGCGGCGGCCGGCGAACTACTCGCAGGCTGGTGCTCGCGCGCCCGCGCGCGTGTCGCGCGGTGCCGGATTTGCCAATATGTGCCGGATCGCGTATTGCGACCGCCACAATTTCAATTTAGTGCAAATCATGCACAATTTGTAAGAGGTCCGGATTTGGGGTTATACGCGCGCGATTTAATAAGGATTTAATAGGAGCCTTTTTAATTTTGCACATATGCAAGAATATGCAAAGAAAATAAGAATATAACACCCGAATTTTGTCAAATAAGAAGAAATTAACTTATTTCGTACAACAACTTACTTACATAGTCCATCAAAGTGGATAATATTGACCACTTATCTCGTCACATTCCTTCGTCGGGCCAGACTGGACCTACCATTCGTCGCTTCTGGCCATACAGTCTGGCCATTTCGACCAGAGATTAGGAAGGAAGAAAACTCCTTCCATAGATGGTTTATTATCGTGACCGACAAATATTTTGTACGGTTCGAACTATATGTGAGCGTCAATCAATCGTATCGAAATGGACGACCACGAGAAGTTAATTAAAGAAAATAATTAATTAAAAGATTTTTATGTATAAAACTACTCAAATTTATTTTAACTTCCGTTATTTATTACAGAATAGATAATGACTATCTCTTCGTGACTTAATCTTTAAATTCAAAATTCAATATAGAAAAAAAACAATGTACTTCGCGTTATATTCATTTTAATTACATTCCGCGATAAATTTAAATTTGTAACTTTGTAAATTTGGATGAAATTAAACAATTAACAATTTTCATTTAGTATAAAAATAAGATAATATCAAAATAAAATTGATAATTTTTATTCTCCTCTATCGAATTAAAAAAGATTTACTTACTATATTGAGACAAGAGTAACTTATATAAATGTAAATTTCTACATTTTTGCGTATAGAATAAATTTTTCCTTCATCTTACAACGCGCAAAATTGGCGCCACGATATTCGACAAAAGACGATACATACTATCATCTTATTCTATATTTTAAAATTTTTTATTTAAGATTAAAATATTTCTTTCTCTATAATAAATATCATTGGCGCTATATCGATTCTATTTTATGACTGAAGTGTAATAGCATTGGATCTGGAAATTTTTTCTGTGACTGTATGCATGTATTCATGCGAGACGCATCTTGAAAGTGTCGCGAGATACACATACAGAATAAATGATGTGAGACCCAGAGAAAAGAAACTTTCTATACGATAGATAGACGGACAATTGAATATTTTAGTTAATCAATTATCTCAAATAAAGCGTGAAAAATATAAAGTTTCAACATTCTCGACAAGATATTAGGATCTCACGTCATATTCTTTTATTTTATATATCACTTTGTTAACGAAAAATGGATAGGCTACAAGAAATTAGGTCGACGAACACATCAATAATGTTCGTCACATCTTGCGTAAAAATATGTGAGGTGCTGCAACGGGGCAGCCAATTCTTTACAGTGAAAAATGCAATCACTATCTTTCGATAGATGAAATACATAAAAATAAGTATGAAATTATGAAGTACTCTATCCATTTTAAGTCAACCGATCGGCGAGATATACTATACATCTACAAGATATAATCTACAGTCTATGTTATGAATGGGAGGAATAATCTAGCGGTTGTTGCACCGGCGGTGTTCGTATACTGCTCCCTGGGTCGTTGCGTTCAGAAGTCGTAGAGAGGTTAGTTAGCGACCGTTCCTGTCCGTTCCTCCGTGGAGAATAACGTAAAGGAAGGGCAGCAAGCACTGTCGAAACAGAAGAGCGCGGTTAACAATGCAGCTGATTACGGTAGTCGCCGGCAGATAGTCATTTACTGGGGAAACTTTTTTGTCGGCCGTTTGGAGGGAACAAGCCCGTCCTTCGGCGAACGACGTCAGCCTTACGGCGAATCTCTGTCTGCCCTTAGGCGAAACTATAATGCGGGTAAAAACAGAAGGACCTGAATTTACCTCTGAATATTGTAGGCGGAAGTCTGCTCTAATGTGGGATTGCCCTGTGGCGTGGATAATTCTCATAGTTTTCCAATCAGCTCTCCACGACGGATCCTGTTGTAATCACGGCCTCTCTCTCCTATTTACGACCGATGACGGGATGCAATCGTCCTCGGCCAGGATCCCTGGTCTCTCGCTGCGGATTGCAACCGATACGAAAAAACAAGGCACACGACACTCACTCCTCGTTGTGAAAAATCCGTATCAGAGAGAAATCTCGGAGCGGCCACGCCGACATTTTACTTGATATACCGTTTTCGCTCGGCTGATTCCAGCGCCTTACGCCCATTTTTATTTTTGGAACTATTTAGCTACACACATTTTCAAGCACTGCCGATAAAGTCTCCACTTGGTGCGTGTCCGTGCTACGCCCATTTTTCAAGCGGGTAATATAGTCTCCAATTTTGGTTGTGTTCCATGCTACATGCATGAAATGTCGGTAAGACGAGAATGTTATTAATTTTCGTAACATTTCTGTGCTTTTTAGTTTAATATCAGTGACGTAATATTGTAAGTTTTCGAAAAGAATTTTACTCTGTTTGTATCAAACTGTAAAGGCAAATTTATCGATCAATTGCAAACGAAACTCTATGGATTAAAAAACTATGTGAATCAAATTGAACTAAATATAGAGGCCCTCCACCACCCCCGCCGCGTTTAATCGACGGTCCTCTTTTCTTTACAATTTGATTTTTATATTCTTATTATTTATTTCATTTTCCTTATATTTACAATATTATAAAAGAAATAATGACATTATAAATTTAAAAATAAAATATCTGTACAATATACCTACAATATTTCTCTCGACGTTATACATATGAAATATTCGGTATACGTATGTACAATAACGCGACATTCTTTTTACGTACTTATTATATTAAGGTCATTGTTACTTCGTTAATTTATGTTACCTAATTTTTAAACTATCGTATCATGTCCCGCTATCCCTAACTATCCGAATCCCTACCTACCCGTATTCCGACCTATAGACCTACTTATTTATTTTCTACCTACCCGTGTTTCAACATAATGAACCTACAAATCTTTAATTAACCGCGACGCGATTTTCTAGGGGTCTTTGACTAATGGCCCATTTTTTCACTTCCCGATAAAATTATCAGGAGGTTAATCTCAAGTTTTGGCCAATCACGTGCATGGATCTGGTAGTTATCTCCCGTTTAACTTTAACCGTAACATAACTGGATGTGAAGAAATCGGGCATTAGGGTTTAACGCGACCGCGGGATTTAATAGGAGTTTCACTCTCGCACATATGCGAGAATGTATGTATATAGAAGCATAACCCACCCGAATTGTGACAAATGAAAAGAAATCAAAGTATACTTCGTACAGCACCTTACTTAGGTACTCCATCAGAGTGGCCAATATTGACCACTTACCTCGTCATATTTAGTCCTTCGTTGGGCCAGATTGGACCTACCTTTCGTTGCTCCCGGCCATACAATCTGGTCATTTTGACCAGAGATCAGGAAGGAAGAAAGCTCCTTCCATAGTCGGTTTATCACCGACAGATATTTCATATGGTTCGAATTATATGCGAGCGACAATTGTATCGAAAAATGCACGATCAGGAGAGAAGTTAAATTTCAAAAAGAAACTTAATTTGAAAAATTTAATTTCTAAAACTGATCAAAGTGTAATTTTACTTCCGTTTTCAAAAGTATTGACCGTATCTTCGTGACTCGATCTTTCAATATAAAATTCAAGCACATAGGTAAATATAGAAAAAATATTACTTTGCGTTATATTAATTTTAATTATATTCCGCGATAAAAAAATTAAAATTCATAATATGGTTGAAATTAAACAATTAATAATTACTTGAACATGTGAAAAACTGATCGTGAAAACCGACCGCGAAAATTGACCGCAAAAATTCGAGATGCATGTGACTATGCATACACTGAGAAAAATTTTCATCGGACAACCCAATTAAATAGTGTTTTCGATGGTTAATTTTTCTGATTACATTTTCCGATTAAATTATGAATACATCCGATGAAATTTATCCGATAAAATGCAGTTACTGATGAAACTTGATTGAAAAATCGATCACATTTTTCATCGGACATACAATTTAATCGGATATATCCGTTTGTTATTATGTAATTGGATTATCCGATTATATTTAATCGGACATTTTTCTCAGTGTGTATTTATGCTAAACGCACCTTGAAAGTATCGCGAGACATGCAGAATAAATGACGTAAGATCCAAAAAAAAGGAACTTGTCGCACGAGTGACACCGATGTTATAATTGAATATTACAGTTAATCGATAATCTCAAATAAAATATGAAAATAATTTCAAATTTAAGCATTCTCGGCAAAATATATTGGAATCTCACGTCATATTATTTAACTTTATACATATATCAATTCTTTAATTAAAAATGGATAGGCTACGAGAGATTAGTTGGCCGAATACGTCGATAATATTCGTCATATTTCGCGTAATTTCTATGATGTAGTTTAACGATTTTCAACATGAAAAATGAGCTCGACATACTCTGATTTGTAGAGCTCTATGAAATCACTTCTCTTTGATATATTAAATATATTAAATAAAACGCGAAATTATTTGTTACCTATCCATTTTAACGTAACGGATCTACGAAATGGATCAATCTACAATCTACGATCTAAAAATGTAGATTCCGTTACTTTAATAAAAAATTTTTTACTCACCGACACGATGCGCAGCGGCGGAGTTGTATCTGCGTTGATTCTGCAATGGCGCCCGATGCCTCCTCCTCCACTCAGGTGTCCTCCTCTCAGGTGTCGTTGTCTCAGCTGTCCTCCGACGCACTCGCGAATTTACACTTCCGTCTGTAAAGTCACTTGTCACTGTATCCAAATGCCACTTCACTCGCAAATTTGCACTTTCATTTGTAAAGTCACTTGCCACTGTCACTGTATCCAAATGCCACTTCACTCGCGAATTTGCACTTTCATTTGTAAAGTCACTTACCACTGTATCCAAGTACTACTTCTTCGGTTTTCACCGAGTCCGATTACGACTACGAATTGTTCGATTACATTGTCGCACTGATATCCACACAAATCACTGACACAAATCGCGGGAATTCAACGATCGTACGACGATATCGATCATTGATTATTCACAGAGAGCGACCGCGGTTTCTTCCCGCACTTGTCGCGAACGCGTATCAAGAAAGAATAATACTATATGCGAAGCGGCGCGGTCATGACCGATCAATTCGACTGTCGCCGCGTGAATGATCCTGCGTACGGCGCCGTAAACACCTCGATTGAAAAAAAATCTATTGTGTCGAATCATTCAGCGCGGCGGATACCGCGTGTCTTCGCGTCGCTCCTCGTAACGCGATTATTTCCTAGAATCTCGATTATCTCCTACGCACGCGATCGTCTCGTTCGAAAGTTATTAACATTTATCAATCGCGTTTAATTGTCGCGATCCGTAATTATATCGTTCGAAACGGTATATCAATTGTAAAACGCCGCCGTGGACGCTCCTAGATTTCTCTCTGCTCTCGGTCTGTACACAAAAGCCACATAAATTTGTATATTACATAAATGTTTTCACGAATTGACTTTCCCAATCCTGGAAAAAAGTTGAGAAAGAGCAGATGAGTTGCACCCGCGAAGGTGCACTCGCTGCGCTCGAAGAGAACAGCTGGCCGGCGAGCAGGAACAATTAATTTCAATTAGCGAATTGACTTCGTATCTGGCAATCGGATCGTCGGACACAATCGCGATTCGACGGATTACGCCTTCCACGTGTCCGTCACGCGATCGCCTCATCACCCTACGATTCGCTCAATTTGAAAGCGGAAATCGCCGCGCTCCGACTTGGCAATTTAAACGCCAGTCGACGCGCCGCGCCGCTCCGGAGCGACGCACGTTTCGTAACCAGCTGTTCTCGAACGGTGCGCGTCCTTGGCTCCGTTAACGCGTGTTTCAACACTAGGAGACGTGCTTTCTTCACAGACGTCTCCCGAGTCGTCTTCCGAGAAAGAGAGAGAGATCAGGGAAGCAGCACCTCGCGAGAAAACCTCCGTCGTCTCGCCCGCCCCCTCGTCAACGACCCAACATGCTCACGGTAAAAAGTCCGCGGAAAACGAGCTTGTCGTCGCACTCGGCAACGATCCGTTCCACGGCAGCCTTTTCGCCGTCCCGCTCGACGTGATATCGTTGCGAGCGAACCGTCACGTGCCGCGGAGAAAAACGGCTGCCGCGCGCGCGGAATTGACCGCGTTGTCGCGACCCGCTCGCGGAGAGGAGCGCGAGGTTCGAGACCCCGGACGGATTTACGGACGCTCCTTTGTTTTCAGACCGCCGTGAGGACTGTCGCCCGCCGCTCGTTCTCCACGTCGAGATGGACAGCGGCGCAGCAGGTGAGATTTCGCTCCTCCGTGATCAAGTCTAACCTAAAAAAAGGGGAGGAGGGAGAATCGGTCCATCGGACACGTCGCGCGGCTCGCCCCACGTACGTTGCCACGTTGGTCGACGGTTCTCCCGCCCGCTTCCCCCTTTCTCGATTCGACGCTTCCCTCGCGTGCGACCGCGCGGAGAAGTAGACGCCTGAAGGGCACGAAAGGTCATTTGCTTCTTGGCTCGCTCACGAGGATTCATGTCGCCAGATGACCGTGCGGGACGCCCTCAACTCGGCCCTGGACGAGGAGATGGAGAGGGACGAGAAGGTGTTTCTCCTCGGCGAAGAGGTGGCTCTTTACGATGGCGCGTACAAGGTCTCCCGCGGCCTCTGGAAGAAGTACGGGGACAAGCGCGTCATCGACACACCGATCACGGAGGCTGGTTTCACCGGCATCGCCGTTGGGGCAGCTATGGTGTGTACGGGGCACATCTGTTAAGCCTTGTGATTGTTAAGCATTGTTCTTAATATCACTGTGCATTATAGATTAGTTTCTTTTGTAGCAAAATACATAAGCAACTTCTGTCACGATAAATTAAAATATCCCTGTAGAACTCGTTTCGCCTATACCGCACGAGTAACTTTGATATCGAGCATCTCGACTTTGGTACGGACACTGTTTTTAATGTTGAATAGGCACATAGATGACACTTTAATAGAGTATCCAAATTTGAAGCAGATACATAGAAAATCAATTCACTGATGAACGTCCTTGAGCCTCGTCTACAATAGTCGTGGAGTCACAAGCGTCGCAGTTGCATTGGTTGAACTCCTCGTTGCGACGCTTGTGACTCCACGACTATTGTAGATGAGGCTCAAGGACGTTCATCGGTGAATTGATTTTCTATGTATCTGCTTCAAATTGGGACCACACCCTATTAAATAGTGTCATCTATGTGCCTATTCAATTTTAAAAATCGTGTCCGTACCAAAGTCGAGATGCTCGATATCAAAGTTACGTGGAGTCACAAGCGTCGCAACGAGGAGTTCAACCGATGCAACTGCGACGCTTGTGACTCCGCGACTGCAATTATTGTAGACGAGGCTTTACTCTGTCACGCTTGCATCGGTACATCCAGCCATTTGCATGACTTCGTACCTTCCAGGCCGGCCTGCGACCAGTCTGCGAATTCATGACGTTCAACTTCTCGATGCAAGCGATCGATCACGTCATCAACTCCGCCGCCAAGACGTTCTACATGTCCGCGGGTAGAGTCAACGTGCCGATCGTGTTCCGCGGTCCTAACGGTGCCGCCGCGGGTGTAGGGGCGCAACACTCGCAGTGCTTCGGCGCCTGGTACAGCCATTGTCCCGGCCTAAAGGTGGTGTCGCCCTACAACAGCGAGGACGCCAAGGGTTTGCTCAAAGCTGCCATTCGGGATCCCGATCCGGTGGTGGTGCTGGAAAACGAGATACTGTACGGCGTACAGTACCCCATGTCCGACGAGGCCTTGACCAAGGACTTTGTTCTACCCATTGGCAAAGCTAAGATAGAACGGGTGGGCAATCACGTGACGTTGGTGGCACATTCCAAGGCTGTCGAGGAGGCCCTCGAGGCGGCCAACGAGCTCGCCGGGAAGGGGATCGAGGCCGAGGTGATTAATCTACGTTCTCTCAGGCCGCTGGACATGGACACTATCGTGCAGTCTGTGGTGAAGACGAAACACCTGCTGACGGTCGAGCAGGGCTGGCCGCAGTGCGGCATCGGCGCAGAGGTCAGCGCGAGAATCGCCGAGAGTAAGTTCCGATTCTGTTTCGCATTTTACTTGTAGACTTTCTATTTCAACAAGAATAAAAACTTATTGTCGCCAATAAATAATCAACCAATGCAGGAAATTAATACTCGACAACTGGCAAATTCTAGTTAAAGAAATTTATTACGAAAAACATTACCTCAGGCAGGGTTTGAACCTGGACCTCCCTACACTTTAAGCGGGCGTCTCACCAATTCGACCACTGAGGCTGTGGTAATATTTGTTGCAATAAACAGTCTAATGATGATATTTTTCGACTTTAAACTGCGCGTCGACTCGGGTTGTCAGCAGTACACAGAACTATCGATACGCGATTTTAAGTGATTTTTCCATTTTAAATCAGAAGCGACCGATTGAAACTAGAGCAAGTTAGAATCAAGTTGCCAGCGCGCTGCGAAGGTGATCGGTGACCGCAAGTGACTTCAGAGCTATTCAGCTGTAAAAACGGGTTTCTGTCGATTCATAATTTATTTATTCTCGATCGTTTAAACTACTCTCTCGGTTGTTTAAACCGTTTCTTATTGTCTTTTTTCAGGCGAAGCCTTTTATCATCTTGACGCACCTGTGATTCGCATCACGGGAGTCGACACGCCTATGCCGTACACGAAATCGCTGGAGATCGCGGCCTTACCACAGATCAGAGACATAGTGAGTGCCGTTAACAAATTGTTAGGCGTCACGCAGTAGTCAATTATACCGAAAGTACTTAGGTGAAAACGATATTTCTACGGTTTTCCTGGCACACGCCAGTTTTCCTATTCCCATCAACGTATCTACCCGGTGCAGCATGCCTCGTCCAAGTATCGACGAACAATAGTAGAGTAGACGCAGAGGAATAACTAAAGTGACACCAAGTACAAAATCTCCGTTCAGTAAAAAATAATAATACTCTACCGCCGCTGGGTAGAATATTTTGGAAACATTTCCTTATAAGTTTGATTCGCGTAAAGTTCTTTAGGCGGAAAGTACGTTTCGAGCGAAAGGATGTTTGTGCATTTCGTTACAATGTACAAGCGAGGTCTAAGCAAATGTGCTTCTTCAAACTAGCGCGCAAACATGGTGCGATGTGTATTCTGTACATATATACAATAAATATACACGATATTAATAATGTTACTAGACGACGTGATAATAAATGTAAATATATATTTTAATAGTTAGCTATATTTTATTTAAAACTCCCGATTGCTATAGTTGCCAGTGCAAGTTGAAAAAAAGATCCAATTCATTTCGTTAATATTTATATTGGATTTAAATAAATGAAAATGAACTTCCAATTGAATAATTATGAAGCTAACAAATATACCGAGCTGTACTGCCGCGTCTACAGAAACTGCCTTTCACTTTGTAGAATTTCACATCGCGCGCTACAATTAGAAAATATATCAGTAACTTATAAGAAAATGTTGATAGTGCCAATATGCGTTGTCGCACATATTTATATATACTTAGCTGCACAATTACAGGCGGCACGCAAGGTGCTGCATCTGTCTACTATTTATTACAGAAAATTAATAAATACTGTAATGTACAAATGATCACTTCTCTCGTTTACTTGTACCTTCTAAGTATACACATACATTATTACTACATATATCTTTTCATCTTTTTACATAAATAATCATGTGTGATACATACGTAATAGACAGCACGTCACTACCGTCATGTATCGTTCAAAAGCATCTCTCAATTCTCCTTCTCTACAAGGAATAATTAGCATTTCTCATAGTTCCTACTAATATCTAAAGTTTGATCTACAATGTGTTCTTTGCGTCTAAAAACATTCTATTTTATACAAGTAAAGCAAAACGCCTAAAGAATATGTCGACAATTTACAATTGTACAATGTATAATATACAATTTGTCAATTCTCTTGTACAAACTTTTGAAATGTAGAGGAAAGTCCTCTATTATGAGATAGGCATGTTGGTTCAACCATGAATTTATTTGCCTTTGGAGTGAAATCTGTTTAGTGGAAGATTGATTGTTAGATCATGTAATCGTTGCGAAAAAAAGATTTGCGATTGAATTTGGACGTTGAAAACCTACTATCTCATATCAGAATCCTATCTCATAATAGAGGCCTTTCCTCTATTTATTGGCTACAAAATAAAATGTTTTTAGACACAAGCAGCACATTGTAGATTAAGCTTAAACGCGAAATCCGATTCGTGCGTACCAGTTACTGCGACTCTCACCTGAGTACATCCATGTCGAGGGCGCACTGTGTGTAGACGGCTAAGAAATTCCGTAGATCGGAATGCGTCCAGTTGACCTGTCGCCAAGGCTCGACGCATCTCTCCACCAGTTCCAGAAAGAAGAATCTCAATTCTCGTGATCTGTGCAGATTGCATCCAATTCCGAGTATCGCCCTCGAGTAGGAACGAAAGTTCACGTCCAGTTCTTGGTAAGATCGATCGAGGAGCATCGGCTTGAGCTTGAGGCACACCAAACTGAAACACACCGTGCATTTCCCCCCCGTTACTTTTCTGATTCTTACGACGAAGGAAAGCATTACTGCTCGTCGTTTCGCAGCGTACTGCTTGTGATGTTTGTCGTTTTCCAGGAGAACTCGGCACTCCGACAATTCCTGCAGAAACTCCCTGTCCAAGTCGGTGTCGAAGTACTCGGATCCGACGCAACGATACGTCCACGACGCCATCATGCTGTTGGCGCAGTGATACAGATCGGGAAACGTTAGAAACTGCAACTTCCTCTTGTTCATCTCGAATCGCAGGCACGCTATAAACACCACTGCGGCGTATCGTCTGTGGACCAAGCAAAAAACAGCTAAAATTTGCCGGTTTGGTCTATAGAGGCTTTGCATTTTGGTTTAATTTTATCATCGGATAATAAGAATACTCGAGTATATTACAAACAGCTAGTTGCTACATTACGATTCGCACGATTCTTCCAATTGTGTTATACACTCGTGCTAAAGCTCTTATAAAATCTCGTGTCCACGATGCTAGAAATCGGTCCGAGATCTTGCAGCTTTTTGTGGCAAAGCTGAAGCTGACTGGCTACATATTTCTCGGATCGATTTCTAGCGTCGTGTACGCAAGGTTTAAAGAATCATATGTCGCACATACCATGATGTAAAAATACAAGGTGAAACATTGCGCACGTAACCAATCTTTGGAGCAAATTGTTCATTGGTTCTTGCTGCATTCGACCGCAATGATTTGCAGCTTGAAGGTTCGGGGCAAATTTCTGATTGGTCACTAGTGCGCATCCACGGGAATGTTACACCTGGTATTCTCGCGTTATGGCACGTACTTGGCGAGGTCCTCGGAAAGCAAGAAATGCTGCTTGATATTGGTCGCGAGCGAGCCTGGCAGATCCTCCACGATCTTGAACACCCTCTTCACGTTGTCGTACTGCCTCCTGCAGCTCTTCAACGTGATCCCCGTCTTCTCCGCCACCTCGTCCATGTCCTTCCTACTCTTGGACGTGATCTTCTTCCCCAGCAGCTCACGAATGACGACGTCGTCGAACTCGTAATACCTAGAGCCGGGCAATTATCGGCGTTGGGAGACGAATAACAATTTCCCAGCCGTGACCAGAACGTCACGTCGCGCACTTTTTCAAGCCCGATCTAGAAACATTCTGTTTTCTACAAGCAAATGAAAACGCTTCAAAAATTTGTCCAAATCTCTTAAACGCATTTACTGGCTACAAAATAGAACGTTTCTAGATGCAACGAGGACATTGTAGATTAGCCTTTACATCTCTATGAGCATCTGGCTGGTCTGCGGCTCGATCTGGAAGGCCAGCTGCTCGCTGGCGAGCTTCGTTGGGGTGTGGAGCAGTTTCTCGAGCAGGGCGTAGGTGCGATAGTGGTCGAGGATGTCAGACGCGACCAGCTCGAGCGGCGCGTTCGTCTGCTGGCAGATTCCCCGTTGGTGCAGAATGCTCACCGCCTCGCTGGCTAGAAAGGAGCAACCGTCGCGTAAGATACGAACGATTATCGGGAGGGGACACGTTCGGGAAGGTTGTAAGTGACTCACAAGTATGCCCGTCGACCCAGAGCTGATAGATCTCGGGGTCGACCAGTGTATAGTTGCTGATAAACACGTCCACCTCGGACAGCATGTTGAGGCTAGGTTAGGTTCACGTCACCGAGCGAGGCGCGAGGATCCGAACGATGTCATCCCTCGACGTCGACAGAACCAGTCAACACGAGATCGCCGTCATGTTTCCGTCTCGGCGTAGCAACAGAATAATCTCGTCGGAGCTCGACGGGGATCAGTTAACCCGCCGCCCGGTGGTTAACGTCGAGACCCGCGCGCGCGAGCGATGCCGCCGCCATACTGGCGGCGGGAGGCTCCCGCTTGACTCGCGTAGTGCCGGCCGCTCGCTCGGTTCGCGTAGTACTCATCTGAACCGTAGGGTGGCCGTTGGGATTCTGGCGCTCGCGGCGGACAGGACGGACGGGATTGCGCCGGTCGCGCGGAGATACGCGCGAGATCCGCGACTCCGCGCGAGTCGTCGCGAGTCGAGGGCAAAGGCGAAGGTCTCCTACGCAGGTAATTAGGTTATTCACGACCGGGGTCGCGTCTCGATGCGCGAATCGAGCGACCGAAGTACCGATTGATCTTTCGGTGACGGTCAATTTCGCGCCTTTCACCGGCCATATTGTTGGATCATCTCGCGTTGTCGTTGGATTCACCGTTTGTTTCGTTGTAGAAGAGCGGAGGCGGCGGAGGCGCCGCGGATGAAACGCACGCGCGTATCTCCGCGCGAGATCCGCGATTCCGCGCGAGTCGTCGCGAGTCGAGGGCAAAGGCGGAAGGTCTCCTCCGCAGGTAATGGAGGCGGCGGAGACGCCGCGGATGAAACGCACGCGCGTATCTCCGCACGAGATCCGCGACTCCGCGCGAGTCGTCGCGAATCGAGGGCAAAGGCGAAGGTCTCCTACGCAGGTAATTAGGTTATTCACGACCGGGGTCGCGCCTCGATGCGCGAATCGAGCGACCGAAGTACCGATTGATCTTTCGGTGACGGTCAATTTCGCGCCTTTCGCCGGCCATATTGTTGGATCATCTTGCGTTGTCGTTAGATTCACCGTTTGTTTCGTTGTAGAAGAGTGGCGGAGGATGAAACGCACCTGTGACGAATGCACCCAGTCAGAAATGACTCGTCGATCGACGTGTCTCTCTCGCGCTGAACATGGAACTGAAGGTTGGGAGTCGCCGAAATGCCGTGCCTCGCTTCTCGATGAAGATTCCTTGAGACATTGGGTGTGCACGAATGCATATTTCATGCCCACAACGTACTGTTGTGAATAGATAATAAAACAATTGCTTCCAGGACCCAGTGATGCCCAGGACACGGAGTAGAGCCGTCGCATGGTGTAACTAGCAGGTCCACTCCATGCCGGCCAGAGCAATGTCGGATGCGCAGAAGAGATCGGTGCAAAGCGAAACAAACGGCGGAATGAACCTGCTAGCCCGATAAGAAAATGTCTCAAATGTTATGCAATAATGGCATCATCTAAGAGGAGGACATTTCACAATTGCATCAAGGTAATTCGTCAAACGGCGGTTTTGTAGGAATAAACTTTCTAAATATATGGTATTTGCTGAAAAATTGATAATCTCAATTTAGGGGCTAAATCGTGCACAATTATTTCCGACATTTAGAAGCAAAATTGCACGGCAACACATTTATGTGCAATAAATGTTTAAAAAAGATTTGGCGTGGGACGTGTTTACCGCTGGGCCTGCTTAGATCTCGTTTTGCGTGAATTTTACTTACGAATATGCCTCGTAGCGGCAGCGCGTCGTAACGCGACAGCAACTTAATTGTGCACATATTCTGCCAAATTCGCCAAAACGCAGCTGTTTTGCTGACATACTACTCAGATAGCACAAGACACTCCTATGGAACATTTTAAGAATATTCTTCAAGAATATTTGGAATATTCCATGGGTCATTTTTATATATTTATCTTATGTTCATGGAACATTCGACTGGCACTACAATAAATCTTTTTCGAATGTGAATAGAATAATCTATCGAATATAGCGCGTCGGTTATACATATGGTATGATCGCAGGTTTCACTGCCTTTTACACGAGATAAGTGTATTACACGATAAACAATGTGCAATACATAAACTCGATGAATATTAAAAAATTATTCTGAACGAATATTTCAAAGACAGTCTCGACGAATATTCTAAAAACGTTTCTCTTTGTTGATGAATATACGATTTCGAATTGTAATAATCTATATATATTTATAGAAGATTCTATTGGAATATTCTGAAATTAAGAATATTTGCACTCCAGAAGAATATTCATAGAACTATGGGTGCTATCTGGGTAGTTGGAGATACATTGTGCAAATATTTATCAACATTTGATGAAGGCATTCCAAGTTTCATCCAGATTTCGTTACATAATTCTTTAAATATTTTTCTTTCAGGGCAGTTATACTATGGCCGTCGGGGCGCAAAATCGCGGCGCGAGACGACAAGATGGCGTGCGGACGTTCGCCTGTTAATGATGCTCCGCGCGGGATTTTCGGTGAGTACGACGAAATAATATTTTTAATTTATTATAATAGGTGTTAAATACAGAAAACTCCTCTCGTCATCGGGGGACAGTAATTAAAATACTTTTTCTCTAGAGAGTTAGCGTGACGTGATTAAATTTTAATTCAATTCCGACGATAATTAAAATTTACATTAATTTCACGGCAGATTACAATCTGCATTGGTTTTATAATTTCGAATCAATTACGAGCAAATGTATGTTGTTGGAATATCTGAGTGAACAGCTACCTTTATTGTTTACGACATTACAATATTTTTAAATTTCATAATTAGCGTTATTTCATAATGACAATCGTCGTAATTTTTGATTAATGAGTAAAAGTTGAAAGCTTTTTATTAAAT